TGGGCGGAACAGCGAAAAGTAAGCTCGTCACATGTTTTAGGCTTCTCATCTCGACGTTTAAACTTAGCCCGTGTCAAAGTTGGCTGTTTTTCACAACGCATATTGAAATTGCCTACTCCTGATATGTTGTCCGCAAAGTCACGAATTCAAACGGTGAAAACAAGTTGCGCCTACCGAATCCTATCATTGCATCGAACAAACCATATGATCTCATACCAAACGATCACTCTTCGCTTCTTGTGACGTTCACTCCTCGGGACGGTTTTATGTTGTCCCTGAACTCTAACCACGTAACCTGTTTTTGCTGATGGGTGCAAACAAAGCCCGGACTGCCTTGGTGCCTCATTTAGACTGGTGTTATCGATTCATTCCAACTCGATCTGACCGACATGTCATGAGCGATCGGCCCGGGTCTTTACCACCCCCACACACGCACTTATATGGAGCGTGGTGGAAAGTTAGTTGCACCCCATCTAACCTACCCAGCGCTAGCAAGGCCGGCCGACTTGGTGTATCCCGCATAGATCAGGGGAATTATACTAGAGCAAGTCAGCGTTCCGTGTAGGTGGACTGCAGATGGAACGCTAATCCAGATATGTTAGCTGAGCCATGGCCCTAGGCCCTGGGACAGGGCAACTGAGCCCCAGACATGCTGAGTAAGTTCGGGGCAGCTGGAGTCTAGACAGGCGGCAAGCACTGCCATGACCCGAATGATTTTATCAGCCTGTGCACTCTCTTCAAGAGGCCACTGAAACGCCCAAGCCTAATCGGGATTCTACAGATCAACAGACCTGACACACCTGGCGTCTCGCGAACGGACATCACTGTACAAAGCAGTCCCGTTTCGCTATTTTGAGCGCCTGCCTCCTCACCAGTGTTAATCATGTTTGAATGAAAATGCGAACATGTTACCGGTCTTCTCAGACGCAGAGTGCGATATTCATTCGACACTCTATTGCCCTGTGGACGCGCCTGTTGTGTGCTGTGTGCTGTGTGCAGTCATCGCTTATCAAATCTGACAGCCCACAACTTATGCATATATTGTGAAATTACAGGCCTCAGAGGGGATATCAGATGACAGCCCAACATATCACTAGCCGTATTTTCAGACGTGTCCTAGTCCTTATGAAAAGGTTTTGAGAGCTTTAATACGTCAGACACCCACCGTCAAAGAGCCTTGAGGGCCTGCCTGCGCTGTCCGTGACCCATCGGCGCTAAATGGGTCGCCGGCTGGCCGGGACAGCGGCGGCCCACGCGCTGGGGACCGCCTGACCTGCGCCGTCCGGCGGCCCGCTACGGCCGCCGCCGGACGTCGCCCGGCCGAGCCGGTAAATCCCGATCACATCCGGCGGGCGTGCGACCGGCGGCCGGCTGCCATGTCGGCCGAGCGCGCTGACTAAGGGCGCCTTCCGGAGACCCGGCGACGTTTGTTAGGGCCATGTGTCATGCGGTGTTTGGAAAGCAGGGCTCATTGATCCATAAGTGGTCCCTAGTTTTTGAAATGGAGCAGCCGGTTGCACATGGTGGCTGTTTATGCAGCGCATTAGTATTCGATGTTATGTCTTGGTTGTCGTCGGGCGGGCGTTTTTCTCGCCATGCTCGGACGAGGGGAAGCTTCACAGACCCCGCTATCTTGAGAACTAAACAGCCGGAGAATAACGGAAAGCGTCGTCGGAAAGCTCGCATTAAGCCGCATCGGAAATGTCACTGAATATCGGTGCAGTTGACCTGTGAGGCCTCAAACGTAAACGACACGTGAAATAGGTGAAATTATGTTCACTTTTGCATCTTTAAAACCATGCATATTATATCAGTGGGGACAGCAGCACTGTATGGCCCTTGGCACACTGAGACACATGCCGCCAATAACACATCATTCGTGTACGATCTATGATTCTTCAAATCGGTACAAGCCCTTGTATGCTTGAGCATCACACCGCTATCTCAATGGCTCGCGTGGTGTGGGAACAAAACGGGTGGAGCTGCACACCGTTTGTTTACCTGCATCAAACATCGTTGAATTCAGCCAGACGTCTGGCCAATCAGCTCATGAACGCTCAGCAAATATTTCTATAACGATGCTTTAGTTTAAAGCATTTAACCTTGGCAGACCTTAGGTGACCTGACCTAATTGTATGTGTGGAATCGTTCACGAAATGGAAGGGAATTGTAGGTCTTTGCTCATTTAGAACGACTATGATCCTCCGGTGAGGATCAAGATTTACAGCATATGAAAATATAGGTAAAACTCGGCTGTTGAAAATTTAACATCGTGCGTTACCAGTTTATCAAATTACTTTCGGAAGACCTTATGAAACCTTCATGTGACCTCTGAGCGTATGTCCCGTCCGACTGGGGCTAAGAGAATTGGGCTTACCAAAGAAAATGTGCAAATATATTTTTCAGCGAGGCAAAATGGTGAGTCCAAGCGAGTTCACTTAATTCCGAACAACTGAAGATCAATCTAAATATTTCCTTTTTGAGCTTCTTTGTTCCACCAACCGTGCCGTGAGGCTAGTTTCAGACATTGCAGCATCCTATAAGCGCTGCCGTATGTTAAAGTACCAATATCGCCATTATTACGGGCCGTATACGGATTTTCTCAGTTTGGATTACTGTAGCGTCTCGCAGCTGTGCTACCTGGAAATATGTTGAAAATAACTTTTCAGTTACGGTATCAATTGTTTCATTGTTGTTAAAGTATCAGTGATATGATCTCGGCAAATTCCCCCAGGGCATAGCACAACGGGTACGTGATTACGGCCCCGAATTAAATAGATGGTTGTGCACACGTGTAAGTAATATAGCTGTGCTGTTGGGAAATGTGTCAGCACGTTTCTTCCGCAGTGGTCATTTCAATATTGATTGGTAGTTGTGACAAGCATAAAAGGGCAGCAAATTCATCTTCAGACCATCATGCCATTGGGCTAGAAATTTGACAGCGCGGACCTGCAGCCAATGATACCGCAGCGTGATGCGTGACTCAAAATTCTGACGCTACCTGTTGGCGCTTTCATTTAAAGAGGGACTTGCTGCACTCCTTCGCTGAATTTTGTTATTGTCAAAATACTGTGTATACCTTACCATGCCGTTGACTACCCATGGCGACGTTGAAGAGATTGTCACTCTGGAGCAGGCGGTTCAGCTGATTGGACGCATTGCCACAACAATCCCCTCGCTACCTCATACGTGACATGTGCAGAGTCCCGAGCGGAGCGTCTTGGAAATGCGAGTAATCAGCGTTCCGAAGCTATTTATCAGCAAAATGAATCGGGCCGCTGTGGTTTAGTATCGTTTTATGTAGCCAGTTCCAACAATAACTTAAACAGAAAACTAAGCCTATTGGCTCGGTGGAAATCCACTACCATTGAAATCAAAACTTGTTAAATAACTAAAACGTAAAGAGTGAACGCCTGACGAAGAGAAACATACCATGCGAATGAGAAGGAGCTGTATGCACGACATGTTTCCCTCTTCTCTCAGTGTTCCTTTCTTTATGTCTCTCTCTCTCTCTCTCTCTCTCTCTCTCTCTCTCTCTCCTCTCTCTCTCCTCTCTCTCTCTCTCTCTCTCTCTCTCTCTCTCTCTCTCTCTCTCTCTCCTCTCTCTCTCTCTCTCTCTCTCTCTCTCTCTCTCTCTCTCTCTCTCTCTCTCTCTCTCTCTCTCTCTCTCTCTCTCCTCTCTCTCTCTCTCTCTCTCTCTCTCTCTCTCTCTTCTCTCTCTCTCTCTCTCTCTCTCTCTCTCTCTCTCTCTCTCTCTCTCTCTCTCTCTCTCTCTCTCTCTCTCTCTCTCTTCTCTCTCTCTCTCCTCTCTCTCTCTCTCTCTCCTCTCTCTCTCTCTCTCTCTCTCTCTCTCTCATCTCTCTCTCTCTCTCTCTCTCTCTCTCTCTCTCTCTTGGGAACACTGTCTGTAAGAGGCCGAAAAATTTAATTTCACAGGTCTAATGCACAGGATCAGTTTCGTGAGCACGCGTGGAGCAAGACGCTGGGCAGAAGCTCTTTACCCAGAAAGAGTGTTGCACAAAAGTGAAACTCGGGAATAAGCAAGCAGCATGATCCCGTCTAAGCTGTAGCTCCACTGTCGCTTATTTTCGCGCAATTGCCTACAAAACCGGCTGTACAACACGGGCTCCCCATTACAATCGGCCTGGGTCCCAAAACGGAACCCGCCCCAGGTGATCCCGAGACCCGGATCCTCTCCCAAAAGGGTGTTATCGGATCCAGGTCTGACCCTGGGACACATCCAAGCACATGTCCGATCGAGAGTGAACATCGCATCATTCATGACCGCATCGATCCATGCGTCGTAAAGCAAACCATGGTGTTACTCAACCTGTGGGTCTGAGTTCATGCCCTTTTCATATTGCCGAATATCCTGGTAAATCTTGACATTCAAAACATCCGCTTGTGCTTCCATTACCAGGGGTAGGCCACGAAGTCGTGGCCCTAATCAATAGGCAGAATCGTTTCTATTTGGGCTTTGTCTTTGGACAGTCTGCGCGGTCTTTGTAACTTGACCATCAAGACTCGAGTTCGGATGTACCCCTGCTGATGTCCGACATCCCGCAAATTTGCATATTGCCATACCACAAACGTAACTCATAATAATCTCAGATAACTCTTCTATGTCTGTTCAGGTGAACTGTGCAATTGTCCCGTCAAAATGCATAGCCGAATCCCGTTTGAGAACTGACAAAACCTTTAGGCCAAGTCAAGCGTCCGTCGTGATCATCCAAGACAAATCTCCTTGACATACTGAGGTGCCATGGACACCGTGTGCAAGCGAATCAATTATTGCCTACCAATCCCCCGGCGCCCGCTAAAAAAATAAGCAGCCCCGCCACCAGGACATGCCTGCCAGACGCGTACAAATTGGGACCTTTGCTAGTGGCGAGCGACCGAGCGATGACGTCACGCGCTCAGGCTCCGCCCCGCACCGTGACGTCAGGTGGCTGGCCTGACGCCGCGCGCGCCGCCGCCCAGGCGTATTCCGACCGAAACAGCGCTGTGAGGTGGGCGTGTGGCGCGAGCTCCTAGCGCGGGCTTCGACCGAGCTGCGGAGGACGTTGCGAGCGCGCGTCGAACAGGACTGGACGAGCGCGCGGCGCGAGGGGCGCGGCGATGCGCGAGGTTTTCGACGTGCAGTGCGGCCGTGCGCCGCGCCGCGCGCTGCTGGCAGCGGCCTGCGGCGGCGGCTTGCTGACCCCCAGCGCTGACCGGCTTCAGCAGCTGGTACGACCGGACTCCATCTACGACGTCTACCTGGTTGAGGACGTGCCGTTCGCCAGGTGAGAGTGCCTCCCGAGCCGGGGACGCCGTCTGTGTGTGCCGGATGGGAGGGTCACTCGGGGTGGGAGGTCGCCGCGCGGCTGTGCGGACGAAGCATTGTGGCAGTGGCCTGTCACGCTCATGTGACCTGGCGCGAGAGCGTGGCAGGTGTCGGGAGCGGCTCGGCGCCTGGCGTTTGACGTTCGGCACGGCCTCTGGGCCAGGCTGCCGACACGTCCTTTGCCACATTTCAGCTGAGCTTGCAGGGGTTCAGCGTCGATCACGCCCGCACGCATCAGCAAATCGCTCCCACGCCTACGCGTTCATGTCGACTCAGAAAGAAACACTGCCTGGCAAAGGCTTCCCTATCGGCCATTGGCCGGCGTCGGTGGCCGGCCGGGTGCTCAGCGAGTCGCTCGGGGCCGGTCGTGCGGTCCGGTCCTGACGCGGCCAGCCCGGACCCCGGCCGCCCGGGCCCCGGCCGCGACCGGTCGGCCGCGTCTCACCGCTGGAACGTCCGGCCTCCCGTCTGCAGCCCGCCCATCCACCTGGCGGGCGCCGCCCCGCATTGTGACCGCTGCGTGTTCGGGCGCCGCTGCGGCGGGCGCGGGGTCACGCGAGCCGGGCGGTGCCGATGGCCGCGTGAGGGCCAGCCGCGCGAGACGGAAGTTGAGGTTCCCGAAAAATGCGGGGTTAAGGCGGATCTGGCGCGCCGCTTGGGCTCGACGCCGGCTGCCGTGGGACGGGCTGGAGAAGGTGCACCCACAGGGGCTGCCGAGTCACAGCTACTGCGACGATTGTGCCGCTAGCGGGTAACTAACGCAGATCTGCAGTGATGAGAGATTCTGGCACCGGTCTCAGCAGCTTTCCTTCCAGCCCAAGCCCATCCCAGACGGGGCAGGGGAGTAACCACTGGCCAGCTGGCGCAGGGTGCCATTTAGGAGACGGGAGAAAGCTGCCTGGCCGACGGGACCGGTTAACAGCTGGGTAGCGGCTCGACCGGTGTTGATCAATGGTGGTTGGGTCAAGTTTGTTTGTACATAAAACAATAAGTTCATTTATATCTGTATATTGAGTTACGTTAATCTATGCCTAGAGACTAGTTTAGTTTGACTGCACGGCGGGTTAAGTTCAGCTAAAAGAAGAGCCTAAGCCTAGAAGTTGTGAAATATAGCATCCTCTGTTCAAAAATGAAAATTTTGTATTGTCTTACGACGGCGTAATTCGAACATTCCTCTTTTGATGGTCTGTGTCTGAATGGCACAGCTACCGCGGGATAACCTCAGTGATTCGTAGCAATAGCTACATACAATGAGCATTCGTCCGGACGAAAGTCATTCACTGCTCTCGGACGGTCACCGAACCCGCGCCAACAAAATCGTTTGGAAGCCGTGAAGCGACGAGCCGAAGAGGCAGAAGTCCCGCTTTCTGTGTCGTTTTCCTCTCATCTGCCCGAGGTCAAGCAGGTCACGCTGCGACTCCTTGCGTGCATTCCCCAATATCTGAAGCCATTATGTACGTGACAGGCGGGGCTCGACGACTCCTCGCTGTCGGGAATGTTATTTTGAACCGCCGCTCACAAATGTAAATATTGCCTGGTCAAGGAGGCTGAACACAATGGAGCCCCGGAGATTCGGCGAGGGCTTACGGTGCCCGTTGTCCGGAGCAAAACACTGCGCAACAATAAACTGCCCCGTGTTTATGCTCTGGGATGGGTCCCGGCAGGGAACAGCAGCCCGGGGCATTCAGGGAATGCTCCGCTGGACATTCTCTTTTTGACAGCTCCTCCAAAACAGGGATCCTTTCCCATAGTTCACATTGTCGCGGCCTTTAGCGCAGGAACTTGTCCACCGCGAGGGCGCCTGTTCTCCCTGAAACGGAGCCCCTGCGGCGACGCTGGTTCCCCATCCGAGCGAGCTCTGCCGGCGCCAGCCTTCCTGGGATGGGGCGCCGACGGTGTCAGTCACGGGGTCACGGCGGGGGCTCGTTTCCACGCGCGGCGGGATGCCAGCCGGCGCCGCTCGGTCGCTGAGTCAGAGTTGTCGGCTGCGCGTGCCGCCGCCGCCGGCCCAGAAGGTCGTCCGAGGCGCCGTCACTTCCTGGACGGAGAGCGGCGGGTCGGGGCGAGCCACGCACGAGCGCAGCAGGCTGGGCAGGCGGGGCAGGCTGAGCAGGCGGGGCAGGCGGGAGAGGCGGGGCAGGAGGGGCAGGCGGGACAGACGGGGCAGCCTGGGTAGACGGGGCAGGTGGGCAGGCTAGGCAGGCGGGGCAGGCGGGGAAAATGGGGCAGGCGGGGCAGGCGGGGCAGACGGGGCAGACGGGGCAGGCGGGGCAGACGGGAACAGACGGGGCAGACTGGGTAAGTGCGGCAGGCAGAGACAGACAGGGGCAGGCGGGGTAGATGGGGCAGGCGGGCAGACGGGGCCAGGCAGGAGTGGACAGACGGGAAAGAAAAGGAAACGGGCATCATGAAACAGACAGATGTCAGGCAGGCAAGATGGCGGCTTAGTCTGGTAGCCAAACCGGGCAAAAGGTAGAATCAAGAAAGGAAGGCAAATACTGAAAGACTGAGTGGCTGGTCTGTCGGCTGGAGAGTGACAGAACCGCATGAGTGAATGCCCAGGGGTTGTTTGTAGGCCAAAAAGGAGGACCTATCAGGCAGCGGTCGGATGCCGGGCCGAGCCAGATGCTTGGTGGGATGGTCAGCCGGACAGGCAGGCGGACATGCAACCGAACATGCAACCGCAATGACTACCGAACAGACTATCGGAGAGGCAGATAAACAGGCAGATGACGAGGCAAATTGTAAGTACCGTGACGCGCTGCGCAGAGTGTATCGACATGGTTTGGTTGCGAACAACCAACTGAAGGGGGCGAGATATCACGCCGAGGGATCCGTGCGGAGCGTCTGCGACACGTGTCCGCCTCCAACTTGGCATCCTTCAGCGATGTAGACACGTTCGTGGACGCGTAACTAAGCGGTCATGAATAGCATGGCGCCACGGTGTCATTGTGAATTCTGCTGTTCAACGTATGCAAGGTCGCCGGCGTCCGGTTTTGGCGGCGTAAGACTGCTCGCCCTGCCGGACATCTCGAGGGTTAGGTTTCTGGTCGCGGTTGCAGTCCCGACGTCTTCGGCTGCGTTGCAGTCTCCGGTCTTGGTTGGATAGCCCGTTAGTCACATGAAAAACCCTCACCGTTTGTTGTGCCGTTGGCTGTCCACCCAAGGCAATGAATGACGCATGCTGCTAATCGCTATGTGCGTCAGCCAAGTTTTTCTGCGCCGGCTGAGAATTCCGATGCCGAAGTCAAAACAACACGCATGGCTGCAAGAATGCGAATGACGTTAGCAGACGTGCGTCTGATGCTTTCACCACACAGCGCACTGTCTGTCTTTGTGGTAACTGGAAGGGCCTCCGCATCCAAAGCGCAATTTTTGTCAACTCAGTTAAGATGGGCGCGGTCAGCTGGGTCGAGTCGGCCCGTTACCGGTTTAGCAAGTCCCGAGCCAGCGTGGTCGCGAGCCAGCACGGTCCCGAGTCAGCATCCCCCGAGTCAGTCTGCCCCGAGTCAGCCTGTCCAGAGTCAGCTTGCCCCGAGTCATCCCTGCCCGAGTCACCCCTGCCCCGAGTCAGCCTGCCTCAGCGGGCGTCCGCGGCCGTCGGGGGCCGGCGACGTCGGTGCCGTCCGCAGCCGCGTGACCTTCCGCGTTCGTGCGATCAAGGCCGCCCGCCGGACGGGACGTGCGCCGTGTGGAGACGGCCGAGCAGGATGTGCTGCGGCGAGCGGCCTCCGACCTGGCGCGCTGGGGGAACGACACAAACTCCTCGCCGCTGGCGGACGGGTCGGGATGCGCGTTTGAACGGACCAGGTGCGGAGGTGGGGGTCGTCCATGAGTCATCGAACGCGCGGCAGACGCCGAAAAAGGCGAGATTCGTCGTCTCCGGTCGATGCGGACTATCCCTGGAGCCGGCTGAGAGTTCGTCGCGTGATTCCGGCTGGTTTCGGGGCGTCGCCCGATGAAGTGGCACGATTCTCGATATTTACGCCATGGATTGCTCTCGACTTGCACGTCCGGCGCCACGAAAACTTCGACGCGTAACGGTCGCGCGGCTGCGCCGGGCTGCGGTGAAACCACGCACCAGCTGCCGCCCGCAGAGGCTTTTTGTCCGGCGTTACCGTTCGCCGTGCATTTTTGCGCCGCCTCGGGCGCGTGCATTTTCCGTTCGTTACCAGGCTGTCGTTGAACTCCTGCTGGCCGGAGACTCTGGTGCCGGGTTCACACGGCGGTTTGGGGTGCGAGCGAGTGCGGTGTCCGCTGAGGGCGGGCCACCACTGTCGCTCCTGATGACGTGTCCCCTGGCCGGCTGCCCGGGCCGGCTGCCCCTGCTGTGAGTGTGTGGGCTGGCAAATCTCCGATGAGCGCCTGTAGTGACTTAGCGGAACTCTGAGCGCTGAGCAAGGACCACGACCTGACCGAGTGTTCAAACGGCGGCTCGCTCGGGATAATCAGAGACAGCCGCACGAACTTCATGAACGCCTCATGGCCGGGTCGGCGCCAAGTGACTACGGAACCGGGTACACAATGCCCACCTTAGCGAATACCCAATCACCATTCAGCCCAGCACATAATCACTGTGAAACCGGGCAGAATAACAGTTCGGGGCGTGGACGCACCAGCACGCCGCATGCCTTCTCAGCCGCTCCCATGAGCTCCGTCATGTATTGAGGACGCCAAGCCTCCACTGGCACCGCCGCCAGCCAGCCGGCCGACCGCACAGTATCCGGAGGGGGACGCGCCGGCGCGTCGCCTGCATGATGTCATCGCGTGGGTGGGCGCGCGCTGGAATGCCCATCCCTGCGGCTGCTCCCCCCCAAGGCTCACAAAGAGGCTAAGCCGGGCCACGCCGCGTCGCGCGCAGCTGACGGCGCGAGTCGCCCGACCGTCGCGACACGCCGAGTCGAGGTCGCCGCCGGCTCGCCGGTCTCGGACGTAAAAAGGAGAGCGGGTGCGCCGCGT